TCGGCTTCCGCCAGCCACAGCCAGAGCTGCCGCCAGGTCCGGAACTTGTACTTGTCGCTGAACACGAAGCACATCTCCGGGCTGGCGTAGCGGGAGGCAAGCGGCGAGCGGTAGCTGGACAGCCGGGGCGGAAGCAGCCGTCTGGAGGCGGGACTTCCTCCGCTGGGGGCGGGACTTCCTCCACGTGGTCCCGTCTCCCTGGCCGCAGAAAACCTGGGGGGTCAAGAGTGCGGAGTTTTGGCTGCTAGCTCTCTACCAGCGGTTCTCAACCTGTGGGTCCAGACCCCTTTGGGGGGGGGGGCGTCGAACGACCCTTTCACAGGGGTCGCCTAAGACCATCCTGCATATCAGATATTTCCATTACGATTCATAACAGTAGCAACATTACAGTTATGAAGTAGCAACGAAAATAATTTTATGGTTGGGTCACAACATGAGGAACTGTATTTAAAGGGCCAGAAGGTTGAGAACCACTGGAGGCTTAACCATTTTCTCTTAGTTTACAAGAAGCGTGATTAGCGTTCCATAAGTTACTTAGCCGCTCTGTTCCTCATTTCCTCATCCGGAAGAGGTACCCTAAGACCCGCCTTTAAGACTGCTGTGAGGTTTGAGCATCAGATCCATGTCCCGGACACGTAGAAAGCCCTCCATGTGTTTGCTATTATTACTGCTTCCTCTCCCCCCACTCCTACTGCCTGTCTGGTTCTGAGGAGGAATGAAGATGCCTAAGGGAAATTGGCATTTATTGAGTTGCAAGTTGTCTTAGTAACAAATTGATTTATAGAAAAATTATTTTTGTGTGAAATATTAAAGAGCACAGGGAATGACCACTCTGGCCAATCCCTCGCTGCACCATATAGGTAAGACCACAGCTGAATGCTACCTTTAGGAATGGTGTATGTAAACCTGATAGACACCTTCTGATTGACGCATTGTGATTGATAATCAGCTTGTATTCTGGTTAACACTTGTGTGATGACAGATGCTACTGATGGCCCCCTGGACTGCCGTGGGCCAGAACAGGCTTAAAAACAGGCCCCGACTTCAGACATGATCATCCTCTTGATCCACGCTCCATGCTGCCTTGCTCCATGGAGAGCAGAAGATCGGCCGAACCTCCAACCCGGAGACTTGGGTCGCCCTCCTCCCGCTGACTCGACCCATTCGGCCAGCCACCCAAAGACGGATCCGCTGCTGCCCACAGAGGACGCCACTCTCCGCCGGGAACCCCGTTAAGCCTGAGCCCACCGCACCAGGAACCTTGTGAGTAATAAAGTGCTGTGTGATCTGCAACTGCATATTCTTGTGTGGCGTCATTCCTCCGCAGTCTTAACTGTATTAATATAAGGTCAGATGATAACGCCTGCCCTCGGTCCTGCTTGCTTAGTCTCTTCGCTGGCAACTATTTAATGCCCCAACACCTGCACCCTTAAGTTTATCTCAAGGGACGCCTTGGATAACACCCCATATTCTCTACTCGGACACAGGTGGTCCCCTTGGACTTCAGCAAGCTGGAACTGAAACTCAGAGGCTGAGAGACGTGCTGGGGTCACTCACCCAGCTAAGTGGGGCCGTCCCATCTGAGATAATGCACTCTCAGCCACGAAGCGGTATAGTTCCCAGCACACACCACGCCGGGTCACACCACGGATTGGAGAAGGCATTCCCCCGTTCTGGACCACCTCTTTTCTCACTACTTAAGGCCCAGTCCAGAGAACGTTCGCTGATGGTCCCGCTCTCTCCTCTGGTTGGCTAATAATAATAAAAGCTCCTGGGTTTATGGAGGTAGCACTGCTTCACATAAGTGATCTCATTAAGTCCTTGTGTCCCTGAGTTGCTCAGGTATGATTAAATGAAATACTACAAGTAAAGCCCTTGGTGCAATGCACAGAGTAAGTACCCAGTAAATGCTAGTCATTATGATCTCATTTTGCAGATGACAAAACAAAGGCATGGGCAGGTTGAGTGTCTTTGGTTTGTTCATGAGGAAGGGGACAACTAGGAGTTAATTGCAGGCAGATAGTCTCCAGACACTTGGTTCTTAATTCCAAATGTACCCTTTCCTTGGTACTCCAAAGGTACCAAGCTGCTTTACAATGACCTGTTTCTGGCCCTGAGTGGGATAGCTCAGTTGGATGAGGTGGCATAAGGGTTATGAGGTCATCTCTGGTCAGAGCACATTCTGGAAGCAGCCAGTGGGTAGAACAGCAAGTTGAACTTCCTCTTCCTCTCCCCACCAACCCTCCTCCGGTCCTTCCTCTCTTTCAAAAATCAATCAATAAGCAAGAATTTTAAATTGCCTTCTGAGCCCTTCACTAAAAGTAAGACCTCCCAGCTTGTTTGGTGAGGTGAACTCCCCCTTCCCAGTAACGGTATTTCGAGGATATTAAACATTGCTGATTAGATCTCAAGTAAAGATCTTGTTTTTACCAATAACTTTCCTGCCATCTTTCCATTTCTGTTTCATTTATTTCAGATTCACTCAAAAACCTATAGATCACTCCTGTAGTGTCCTCCCTGCCCACCTCTGGGATTTCATAGATGGCTTCTTATAGGCCTCTCGTAATTCTCACCAGAAAATGTATTTTTCATATTGATGGCAAACTCAGCCATCATGTCTTGGTCACCGATATCCCTGGCATCTAGCACAGGATCTAACATAACATAGGTGTCCAAGAAATGTTTCCTGGATGAATGAATAATGCCCAAAGGAGCCTAGCCCAGAAAGAGAAATAAGGCCCACAATAGCCAAGATACAAGTTAGATCCTGACACTGTACTTCTCCCCCAACTTCTGCGGCACCTCTTCAGTGTCCTCATTCTACGGCTCCTTCATGTCTCCATCTGGACTCCAGAATTATCAGTTGACTGCAGCACAAATCCAGAATACCTTGAATCAGAGAAACCCATCCGTCACCTGGGCTCATCATTTAGGTCTTCTTCCATCTTTCCTCTTGAGCTGCAGAGGATTCATTTTGGGGGTGAGGGCAGACAATTCTGGAAAGATGAATTTACTTCAATTTTCCACTCTTTGCAGTGTTTCATAGCTTTGATGTGCCATGGAGTTTACTGTTCTCACTTGCCACTGTGACTATTGCAAATGCAACGGTCTCCTCAGCCTTCCAGTCCTTTCTCCTGCCTCTGCTTCACTTTGCTGTTACTTTTCCTCCACAAAATCGAGGAGTTTCTGCCTCCAGCCTCCTATCTTTTCCTTCAGGAAACTATCTTGCTTTTAATTATTTTATCATGGATTTTTCATCTCTCCAGTTCTGTCTCCCTTCTCCTCTGATTTAAAAATAGATGCTGACTCCCTAACTCAGTGTCCAGGACTCCTGTATCCAACAAATTCATCCCTCTCCCTGACTTATTCCTTAGCACTGCACTACAACTCCTTGCCCTCTCTCATTTCCTCCAAGCCACATTCTCATTGATTACCGACAACTTCTCTAATAAGCAAAAGGTCCTCTCCATAATATATGTTTGCATAAAGAATATGATAAAGTCTAAGTGTTGGGGGGACACATGCAGGGAATGAGATGGGCGGGGAACAAACTAGGAGCAAATTTCCCACTGCATGTCTTACATAATTTTGATTTTTGAGCCAAATAGTTTCCCCCCTTTATTAAATCATCCTTCCTGTGTGATTGCAGTATTTAGCATTTTTTGACAACCTCTTCCTCCTACTTTGAAACTAAACTGTCTTGCCCTGGCCGGGTAGCTCAGTAGGTTAGATCATCATCCCAATATGCCAAGGTTTCGGGTTCAGTCTCTGTCCAGGGCACACACAAGAAGCAACCAATAAGCCTGGCCGGCATTGCTCAGTGGTTGAGCGTTGACCTAGGAAGTCACGGTTTAATTCTCGATCAGGGCACATGCCCAGGTTGTGGGCAAGATCCCCAGTGGAGGTGTGCAGGAGGCAGCTGATCGAAGATTCTCTCATCATTGATGTTTCTATCTCTCCCTCTCTGAAATCAATAAAAAAAATATTTTTAAAAAAGCAACCAATGAATGCATAAATAAGTGGAAAAACAAATAGATGTTTCTCTCTCCCCCTTCCTTCCTTTCTCTCTCTCAAAATCAATAAAAAACAAACAAAAATCTCCACAAACCCTAAACTGTATTATTCTCCTCTTTGACTACTCTTTCTTTGATGACCCTTCCTTCTCTCACTCCTGGAAAGTAAAGTAATGGGAGTTTCCTCAAGGTTTAACCCACTTTTCCTCCCCTTGGAGACAGCTTGCATATCTGCCAGGCTTACCGTCTGAGTCTGCAGCCTCTCCAGAGTTTTGTTCTTGATCTCCAAAGGTCACCTAGACACTCCCGGCTGGTTGTCACTGTTACCAAGAGCAACATTTCTGAATTTACTTTTGCATCTCTTGTGCCCTCAATAACAGATCTGATTTTTTTCTCTTTTATATCTATCCTTGTTTTTCAGGCTTTACAAATACCTAATTTCTTAAGCAAATTCTTAATGTAGCATCCAGTTACCCATTAGGATCATTCATTCCATGATAGTGCATACTGTGTGCCAGGCATTGTACGAGGCAGTGGGATACAACACTCAGCTGATGAGGTTGGAGAGGACAAAGGTGGGAAGAGAGGGAGGGAGGTAAATTTGGAGGAGATGGTAGCCAGACCAAGAGAAACTTGGAAATAAGGATATTTGGTGGTTGTATTCTAAGCAATGGAAAGCCACTAAAAAGCCGTAGGCTGGAGGATGACTTCATATTTGCTTTGAAAAATATCGTCCCAACTATTATATATAGAATGGAGTGTGGGAAGGGGAACTGGCATGAACGCCAAGTGAGAAGTCAGTTGGGCTAATGCAGACTAGATAAGAAAGACCCAGGGGTGTAGGCGATCTAGCTTGCACAAAGGAACCGGCAGAGGAAATTAAGAACGGAGATTAGCTGAAACTGGTTTGGCTCAGTGGATAGAGCATCGGCCTGCGGACTGAAAGGTCCCAGGTTCAATTCCGGTCAAGAGCATGTACCTGGGTTGCGGGCACATCCCCAGTAGGAGATGTGCAGGAGGCAGCTGATCGATGTTTCTCTCTCATCGATGTTTCTAACTCTCTATCTCTCTCCCTTCCTCTCTGTAAAAAATCAATAAAATATATTTTTTAAAAAAGAAAAAAGAACAGAGATTAAAGAGGTACCATCAGTCCAGCTTGATGCTTAGTTAGTAATGGAGAGTGAGGGGGTGGAATCAAGGATGCTCCTTGGTTTCTAGGTTTTATCATTGAATAGATGGTAATGCCATTTGTCATGGGGTGGGAGGAGGGGCAAACGGGCAGGATGGACTTGAGTTTGCAGTGCCATTAAGATATCCAGTTGTTTTTGCCCGGCCACAGTGGCTCAGTGGTTGAGCATTCACCCATGAAACAAGAGATCATGGTTCAATTCCCACACAGGGCACATGCCCGGGTTGTGGACTTGATCCCCAATAGGGGGAGTGCAGGAGGCAGCTGATGGATGATTCTCTCTCATCTCTTTCTCCCTCTTTCTGAAATGAATAAAAACATATTAAAAAAATAAAATGAATAGAACCCAAGGTATCCTTGTGGCAGTGGCTGGAGGAAAAACAAACAGGCAAAAAAATATTCAGATGTTTTGAAATGTTGAGTAGACAATTATATATACAGGTGTGGAGCTCAATGGTAAGGGTTGGAAATACAAATTTAGCAGTCATTAGCATATAAATAAGGGTTTTAGGTTTTAGAGCTGGTGAGCAACATAGAAGAGAATTGTCTTTTTTGGTCTTGACATTCTAGTGAGGAAGATAATAAAGAATAAGCAAGCCCGGCTGGTGTGGCTCAGTGGTTGAGTGTCGACCTATGAACCAAGAGGTCATGGTTCCATTCCTGGTCAGGGCACATGCCCAGGTTGCAGTCTCAATCCCCAGTGGGGGTCATGCAGGAGGCAGCCAATCCATGATTCTCTCTCATCATTTATGTTTCTATTTCTCTCTCCCTCTCCCTTCCTCTCTGAGATAAAAAAAATATATATATATGTATATATATTTTTAAAAATAAGCGAGATAATTTTAGAAAGTGGTAAGTTCTATGAAGAAAATATACAGGCCAAGAGCATGGGATAGTTTCGGGTATGGATGGGGGAGGTGACAACCATTTTTGATAGGATATTCAAGTAAGACCTCACATTTTATCAGTGACTAGACAAAGATGCAGAGGAAAGAGCATTCCAAGCAATGGAAAAATAAATATAATGGCTTGAGGTAGACATGAGCTTGGTGGGATTAAGAAAAAGGAAAGCTAATCGGGCTACTGTAAGACTGAGATCAGGAGTCAGAGGGGATGAGAGCACATGTGCGATTAGTGAGGGGTTTATGGATCATGGTACGGAGTTTGGATTTTAATTGTAAGGAGAAACCATTGGAGGATAGTGACAAGAACAGAGAATAGTCTGGGGTGGGGTTAAGGGGAAGATGGTAGACCGCTAGGAAGCTACTGCAGTGGTCCAGGGGAGCGTATAGGGTGATTGGACCCACACGTTGGTTGTGGTGAGGTGTGAGATGTGGACATATGTTCAGTACGGAACTGACGGGACTTTGTGATGGACTAAGTCAGCGATGTGAAGAAGCTATGGATTTGGACAGTTGGGTGAACAGTGGTATCATTTACTAAGATGGAAAAGATTGGGGAAGTAGATTTGACAGGGAAAGTGGAGGGACTTTTCCATTAGACTTAGAAGTAGATAAGCAGTTAGGTAGACAGGAGATCAGAAAGGCCAGGGTTGGAGATATAATTTAGGCAGGAAGGAGACATGTGTTGTATTTAAAAACACCGGGCCGCTGAAACCGGTTTGGCTCAGTGGATAGAGCGTCGGCCTGCGGACTGAGAGGTCCCAGCTTCGATTCCGGTCAAGGGCATGTGCCTGGGTTGCGGGCACATCCCCGGTGGGGGATGTGCAGGAGGCGGCTGATCGAAGTTTCTCTCTCATCAATGTTTCTGACTCTCTATCTCTCTCCCTTCCTCTCTGTAAAAAATCAATAAAAATATATTTAAAAAATAAAGAATAAAAACACCGGGCCAACTGAACTCATCTGGGGAAGAGGGGGCACAATATGAACAGAAAACAGAATTCAGGCCTGAGCCCAGGGATACTTCAAAATTTAGAGCTCAGAGGAAAAAGGAGCAAGAAGGCAGGCCAGTGAGGTGGATGACACTGCCTAGGACAGTGATGGCGAACCTTTTGAGCTCGGTGTGTCAGCATTTTGAAAAACCCTAACTTAACTCTGGTGCCGTGTCACATAGAGAAATTTTTTGATATTTGCAACCATAGTAAAACAAAGACTTATACTTTTGATATTTATTTTATATATTTAAATGCCATTTAACAAAGAAAAAACCAAAAAAATGAGTTCGCGTGTCACCTCTGACACGCGTGTCATAGGTTCGCCGTCACTGGCCTAGGATTTTAGCATCAACAAAGGAGGGCCTGGGTGTGAACACGGATGAAACCCAGTATTTCCTGACCAGATAGAAGCGTATGTAAGGGATGCAGGAAATAAAGGAACATGTTGGAGAATGAAAGGAAATCCGGGAGTTGTGGTATCAAGAGGCAAATGGTCATGTCCACTGGCCTGGGGAGGTTGTCAGTGAAACTCAGAGACAGCTCTTCTAGGGGGATGACAGGCAGGAAACAGATTGGGAAGAGACTCAGGAGGGAGGGGAGAACATTTTTCCAGGGGGAAAATGGGCAATAGCTGGTGAGGCAGGAGTTAGAACATGAGCCCAAAGGAGAGGTTTTACCAGGGCATGGACTTGAGCATGTTGACAGGCAAGAACCCCGGCTGAACAGAAGAGAGATTGGATAATGGCAAGTTAAAAGTACGCAGGAGGCCGAAGCCGGTTTGGCTCAGTGGATAGAGCGTCGGCCTGTGGACTGAAAGGTCCCAGGTTCAATTCTGGTCAAGGGCATGTACCTTGGTTGTGGGCACATCCCCAGTGGGAGATGTGCAGGAGGCAGCTGATCGATGTTTCTCTCTCATCGATGTTTCTAACTCTCTATCCCTCTCCCTCTCTGTAAAAAATCAATAAAATATATTTTTAAAAAAAGTACTCAGGAGGCAGGAAGGAAAAGGATCCCACGCACTGGAGGAACCAGCACTGGGAGGGGAAGCACTGCTCTCTGCTCCCGGTTGGGAAGCACAATCTGGGTGAATTTTTCTGATCCCTGCAATACTCTCCATGTATTAGTGGACTCAGGGCGCTTGCCGGGCATTGTCAGGGTCTTGCTGCTGGTTTCAGTACATTTATAGGAGCCTTATTTGCCCAGTGACTTTTTTTCTGCCAGCAATGCTGCTTTTGGGTGCTAGTGGAACATCGGAAATAGAAAATAGGGTTTTTCCAAAGTGGGGATTTTATCACATAGGTGTCAGTTAAACGGGAGGGGGTGTGTGGGGGGGAGCAAGGGAATTTATAGGTATTAGCAACCATGCTATTAAAATTATGGGTTATAAAATTTAAATCGGATTAGGAATAAAGTGAGAAAAAGGAGAAGGCTGATGGGTTGGAAGAAAGGAAACAGGTCAGCGTCCCGGTGTGGCTGATGAGGTCACAACACAGCCAAAGAGAAGGGGGAACCAGTTGGCTGGGAGGACAGAAGGTCAAGGTCAAGAATGCTGCAATTAGTGATTCTGGAGAGAAGCAATTTTGGGTGAGTATGGGAGTGTGTGGCTGGGGAGGACGGAAGGCGTGTAGAAGCCTGCTGCTAGCACACAGTTTGCGGGTAGTTTTTATCGTGCGCTAACAGGTGGCGCGGGCCAGTTTTGCTATTTTTTTGCACAAATGGCAACGTTCAGTAAAATTACGATAACTTTAGTTTATGTATTTATACGTTACCCGCATTCTACCGCTAGTCTATAAAAAAACGTATTAAAACGTGTCCCGCGCTCTACTACACTGGTAGAACGTATAAATACGTAAAACGTATAAATACGTTTCTCGCATACAATGTGCTAGCATGATTTTCCAGGTATACCCCGAGGTCACCTAAGGTGACGACGGCAGGGCACACCAGTGAGGAAGGCGGAGTAAGATGCTAAAGTCTTAACAACCACCTTTAATTCTACAACACATCTCCCCTTAGCCATTGATGCATTTTTAAAATATATATATTTTATTGATTTTTTACAGAGAGCAAGGGAGAGGGATAGAGAGTTAGAAACATCGACGAGCCGCCTCCTGCACAGCCCCTACTGGGGATGTGCCTGCCACCAAGGTACATGGCCTTACCAGAATCGAACCTGGGACCCTTCAGTTCGCAGGCCAACACTCTATCCACTGAGCCAAACCAGTTAGGGCCACTGATG